CAGTCCCCGATGCCCTGACTGCCGTCAGCCTGCTGCTTTGTTCTGTCTCAGCTTCTTTTGAGATGCCCAGCACGCAGCGGAATTAGAGGAAACCCAGAAAGTGGGGATGAATCCAGCAATAACAACCGCGCGGAGCTCAAGCCAGGACCTCGGTCACACAGGAAGAAAGCTCTGACCTATTGTGCAGTGTTAAAGGGGATCTCCAGCCTGGGAGATTGCAACAACATGGCAAGGAAGCACATACAGCAGTGAGACCACACGCTGACCAACATAACAATATCAGCTTATCTGCCTCCACTGTTATTCACTTCTTGATATCATGGGCAATAGATCACAAAACTACATATCACGTAAGCAGAGAGTGCTCAGATCAGCGCACTTTACCCGTGAAAACAATGATACAGGTAGAAGAGAAGTGCTTAACAAAGCTCTGTAGGGAATAACAATCAAAAACACAATAATAATCCTGGCATTTGCCTTATTACATCGTTGAGCCATCTTAAAGCGCTTCACAGGATATATTGAAAAGTGGATTGACTGTGTATTTTTGGGGGTGAAACTGTTGTGCACAGTTGACTGCCACATTTCGCCCACAAAATGCAGTCAATTTAACTTTACAGTATATTCTGCGAAGCGCTTTGAGATGTCTCAACAACATGATAAGGCCTTATATCAAATGTAAGGATTATTGTTATTCACACAGATAGCAGCTCTAAGAGCTGCAAAGCACCAGGTGAGAGGCACATAGAAAATCAGATAGCGGGGAAAAAAGTAACACATTCTGAACATCTAACTATCTTTGGCAACGGACACTGAATGATACACCAGGCTATATATAGTTACGATAAAGGGCGTATGATCACAGATCCTGGGTTAAACATCTGACTACAGCCAACTCACACTCACCTACTCTGTGAGAAAATGCCTTGGTATTTAAGCACAGGCACCAGATATGATGTGACAGCAAGTGTAAAGAGTCATACAATCGTGGTAGTGTGTGATAGCAGCCAGTAACCGCAGCCCACGTTCACTGAGAAAGTCACATGTAGGCTTCCTTCTTCATGCACCAGATTTAGCACTGAGACTTTGGTTCTGGGCTAAGTTCGGGCAAGGAATCAAATTCACAAAGACCATCATTGGCAATCGGGCCTTCAGCCTTTCTGTCCCCACCTTCTGGAACTCCATCCCAGAACCCTTCTGCCTCACCCCATCTCTTGTCTCCTTCAAGGCCCGTCTCCTTCCAGCCACTGACCTGTGTGGCCGTACATTGTGTTCGGTCGCATAATAATAATAATAACCTTTGCATTTGATATAGTGCCTTACCACATCATTGAGAGGTCTCAAAGCACTTCACAGGATACACTGTAAAGTGGAGTGATTGTATATTTTGTGGGCAAAACGTGGCAGTCATTTGCACACAATCCTTTCTTGCCTCTTTTGGTTAAGACGTATTTTCTCTTTGCTTTCCAGCTTGTAAAAAAAATTTCTGTTTCAATATTCTCCCTCCATTATCAGGGAACCAAGTGAATCCTGGACTTTCTGGGTCTGTGTAGCTTTCACACGGGTGGTGGTGGGGTTGGCAGTGAGATCAGGGAGAGACCCAAAGTGTTTCACTTACTGAATATGAAAAGAATGGAAAAACGGGTAGGCTGCTGTCTTTAGGGGAGAGACCGACACACAACCTGTTCAAACCACAACCTCCAGGGAGAATTTGTTCTCCAAATTTTACTTTGTGTGAGGCCTTGGTAGACTGGCATTAAGTTCTTCAGTGTAGAGGTGGTTAAGGGGACATTTATTTGAGGTATTTCAAATAATGAAAAGAATTGACGGGTTAGATAGTGGACGACTCTTCCCCTTGGCTGAGGGATCCATTATCAGGTGGGGGGAGTGCAGGATCAGAACAAAGATGATTAGAACTGAGGTCTATCTGACATCTCAGATATTGTAAAGTCACTCAATCCACGACTGTTTGTGGGACACTGCTGTGCGCAATTGGCTGCCATGTTTTGCCCACAAAATATAATCAACCCATTTTACAATATATTCTGTGAAGTACTTTCAGGCATCTCAACAACCTGATCAAATGTAAGGATTATTATTATTACTCACTCCAGCAATAGATGTACCAACTGAGACATTACCTAAGCTTAGTGGTGCAAGTCCAGAGGCAGCATTTTGCAGACCTGCTTCTTCAAACGCAAATAGCAAATTGCATTTACACGGCACATTTCATATTGGGAGGACGTCCCAAGGCGCTGGACAGTGAAGAGTTTGCACCTAAACTGGGGTTTGGATTTAGGAGAGGTGGGTGGTGGGGGTAAGTGAAATGGAGTGGGAAGATGACCTAAAGCACGGTCAAAGAGAAAGGCTGGAGGTTTCCTGCTTTGAGGACTGAGTCTGTTCCTGTTAGCTACTGAGCCATCACCTTCATTTCAGTCACTGGGACCTGGAGTCTGAATGACTTTCCTCAGTGGCAAATGGACTCAGTGAACTGAAATAGACACACCACATAGTGTCAGCCTAGCAGTGTGTTGCACTCTCACCTCTGAGTCAGAAAGTTGTGCAGTCAAGCTCCATGTCGGGACTTGGAACCACATAGTCTAAACTAACTCTCCAATGCAATGCTGGGGCGTGTTGCTTTGGTGGAGGTGCCATCCTTCAGTTGAGAAGTTAAACTAAAGCCAGCCTGCCTGTTCAGGTAGACATTAAAGGTCCCATGGCACGCTTTGAAAAGAGAAGGGAGTTTCTTTCTCCACATCATGGCCAACGATCCCCCAAAGAATATTGGTCACTCACTCCATGGCTGTCTGTGTGATATCGCTGTGCACAACTGGCTGTTGCATTTCGCTCACGAAATACACAGTCCCTCCATTTTACAGTATATCCTGTGAAGCACTTTGAAACGTCTTGACGACGTGATAAGGCACTATAAAAAATGCAAGGATTATTATATCCCCTTTAAATTAGCTTGATGCTACTGCATTGCATTCAGTTTTGGATGCATTTGGTTCTATCAGTTGTGCAGCTTAATATAACCGCAGCAATACTGTTACACAACATGTTTTGTCATCTCCTACAGGAGAATGACTTAGGATTATCATACAATTTGACAGCACTGAAACAGGAAATTCAGCCCATCGAGTCTATAGTGGTGGATTTCTCCGCGTAGAACTAGTCCATTCCGGGGTTTAGACACCACATGAGTCCCCAACTCCTATGCCCCTCTCCTAGTGAGGGCTCAAACCTGCGCTGGTCAACTGTCATATAAACAACTAGTAACTATCCAGGGTCTCCTTGGAGCTGAGCTGGCTCCAAGATGATGTTCTTTGCAAAGTAATATCAGAATTGAGTCGGTTCTCTGCTGTGGTCCTGATAGCCTGGTCCCTGAGGCAGGTGGGTCTGCAATATAGCCACACAGCCAACTTGGCTGTTTATCAGGATCTAGAAGGGCAGACCAGTCAAATACGGCAGGGATTCTTCCCATCAGCTTCCCATGCAAGCCAAAACCCTTACAGATAGAGTTGTCCTAGCTGGACAAATCGGGGTAAAACCTTGGGCAAGTTTCCTGACTCCACATACCTGATAATAATCCCTCAAGAAAAAAAATCAGTAATAAAATTAGTGACTTCAATCTATGACTGTTTGTGGGACACTGCTGTGCGCAATTGGCTGCCGGGTTTTGCCCACAAATATACAGTCAATTCACTTTACAGTCTATTCTGTGAAGCGCTTTGAGACGTCTAGAAGACCTGAAAAGCCCTAAATCAAATGCAAGGAATATTATAAAGAGCTGTAAGTTTCCTAAACACACACTTCTGTGGCCCCAAGATTTGGCCCGTGCCAACCTGTGCCTAATGCTCTCCAGAATTAGATAAGCAGGATGCGTCCCTCCAAGGAGAGATTGCGCTTTCCATTCCAAACACAGGGAAATTTTCATGCGTAGGTGACACACGTGTGTGGAACTCTCAATCCGGTTTGGCTACTCTTAAGCATGGTGATGGTTCCACATGTGTCAGTTACTCAGACACCCAAAGCCAAATAAAAAAAGTTTGCGATGGCATTTTGCAGTGGTCAGCCTGTGCACCTGTACAGGCAACCTCAGGGTTTTCTTTTGTATTGGTGAGCGAGGTTTAATGTGGCTGTTGTTAATTTTGTAGCCGGTTCCTTTACGAAACTACAGACACCTCTCGTAGACTAAGTTCAACAATTTGTCAATTTGTCAATTGGACCTGTTGAAAAGCTACAATAATCAATTAAGTATACAGTCAATTCACTTAATAGTATTTTCTGGGAAGCGTTTTGAGACGTCTCGACAACTTGATAAGGGGCTATATCAAATACTAGGAATATTATTATTGTGGTCAGCCTGTGAGAGAGGTGGAGCAGAATATTTGTCTAAATTAACCTCATCCCCAGGTGAAAAATAGGTTCACCAAAGTTTTCGTCATTCGTTTTAAAGAACAACTTGAATCAAATAGTTTACAAAACTACAGACACCTTGTGGAGTCCTGTAGCTCAGTGGTTAGAGCACTCGCTTTGCAAGCGAGAGACCTGAGTTCAATTCCAGGCAGAGGGTGAAACCTTGGGCAAGTTTCCTCACTCCACACAGAGCCTAATAATAATCCCTCCAAAACCAAAAACAATAATAAAGTGGTCATTTTCAATCGACGACTGTTTGTGGGACATTGCTGTGCGCAATTGGCTGCCGCGTTCGCCCACAAATATAGTTAATTCACTTTACAGTGTGTTCTGTGAAGCGTTTTGGGACATCCTCCCGACGTGAAAAGCGCTATATCAAATGCAAGGATTATTATTATTATTACCGCAAATATCTGTTGATAATATCTAACCTGAGTTATGGTTACATAAAGATGGAAACAATTCGGAGAAATAAATTGAACAGCATTTCATCCAAGCCTATTAAACAGGAATTAGACTTCCAAACTCGCCCAAGGCAACCTTGAAAACCTTGTATTTTTTATACTGTAATAAAAACATACCTGTGAACAAGTAGCAGAAACCATCTGTTTTGCCAACATCCTATCTCTTTCTGCTGACCAGGTCACCAAACGGATCTGAGAAATTCAAACATCGAAAGCAACTTCAAAACACATCGTTGGTTTTCTTGTTTTAAAAAAACCCTGAAATGTTGACGTTTGACATGTTCTGTGTGGTAAACCAGAAACCGATGCTATGTGACAGACAGATACTGTGCAGAGAACGGTGAGAATGGTCGAGGAGCAGAAGGGGAGAAAAAAAGCTCACTGTTCAACGTGGAGTTCCTATCATACCCTTGTGATTGTTAAGGCATGGAAACATCATGGATTCAACGAGTGAGAAGGTTCAGCTTAAAGTGCTCTGCGTCACTGCCAATGAGAGCACGGAATATTTCTGTCACCTCTTCAGGATGCACAGTGCTGATCTCAAAACCTTGAACATGAAGTCACAGTGGAGAAACCAGCTGCTTCCAAGAACTGTTACTTCCCTCTCCTTTCGCTGTTAATGCACATTAGTCACCCTTTGTGAGAAAACTACCGCATTAACAACAACAACAAAATTACATTTGTATAGCGCCTTTCACGTTGGGAGGACATCCCAAGGTGCTGGACAGACAGAGTTTCGGACCGGAGCTGGGGGTTGGGGTCAGGGATTGTGGAGGGCAGGGGGTGAAGCAGGAAGATCGAAAGCACGGTCGAAGAGGAGGGTCTTGAGATGGGTCTTGAAGGAGGCAAAGTGTGGGGGGGGGGGGGGGGAAGCGAGGCGAAGGGACTGCGGGATAGCGTTCCAGAGTGAGGGGACAGAGTGGCAGAAGGCCCACCTGCCAATAGTGGGGCGAGCGAGGCCGGGGGACGTGAAGCTGGCCGGAGCCCGCTGAGCGGAGGGAGCGAGCAGGATGGTAGGGGGTTAGGAGGTCAGAGAGGTAGGGGGAAGCAAGACCATGGAGGGCTTTGAAGGTGAGGACCAGGATCTTGAACTGTATCCTCTGTGTGATGGGAAGCCAGTGGAGTTGGGCGAGGATGGGGGTGATAGGGTCGCGGAGCCCAGTGCAGGAGAGGACACGGGCTGCAGAGTTCTGGATGATCTGCAGCCTGTGGAGGGAGGAGTTGGGGAGACCGACAAGCAGTGAGTTTGCATAGTCGTACCTCGATGTACGAGGGTTTCAGCCTGGTGTGGAAGTGGGCACAAGCTGCAGAGTTCTGGTTGTTGTATTATATTGTGTGGTGTGTTGCAATCTTTTCAGGTGTAATCATTGTAAATATGTGCCTGTGTGGTGTACAGCGGGGTGCCAGCCATAGCTAGCACAAGCTCCCTAGGAGGGTTTGTGCATTGCCCACGCACATTGATGTAGTGCACATAGGGACGTTCTCACTGCAACTAAAGAGCAAGCTGCGAATGTGCGCATACATCATGTGTGCTGTAAACCTGTCTGTGCCCCACCATTAAAGGTGGGGGTGAACGACAGAGAGGGGGATGACAAGACCTCGTAACTGCGTTCTATGAGTGCACAGAAACTCTGCCCCCCTCCCCCCCCCCACCCCGTAAGGGGCCGGATCTGCTGTGTATTGTAACTAGATATTAATACATTGCATTTTTCTTATCTGTCTCAGGAATTTTTCCATGCAAGTGCAAATAGATATTCGTGGAGTCCTGTAGCTCAGTGGTTAGAGCACTCGCTTTGCAAGCGCGAGACCTGAGTTCAATTCCAGGCAGAGGGCGAAACCTTGGGCAAGTTTCCTTACTCCACACAGAGCCTAATAATAATCCCTCCAAAACCAAAAACAATAATAAATTGGTCATTTTCAATCTACGACTGTTTGTGGGACACTGCTGTGCGCAATTGGCTGCCGCGTTCGCCCACAAATATAGTCAATTCACTTTACAGTGTGTTCTGTGAAGCGATTTGGGACGTCCTCCTGACATGAAAAGCGCTATATCAAATGCAAGGATTATTATTATTATTATTATTATATTCTATATCTCAATTAATATATACTTGGTTTCAAAAAAATTAGTCCTGAAGGGTTAATGCCCAAACCCACTGAACCCTTCTGCGCTGAACTCAGTAGTTCCTTCACTGGACCCATGCAGAACCTTAATAAACGCAAATTATTCTGTAAACTATTCTCTATTCAATGGCGAATCAATGACATTTTCTCTCTCCGCAGGATCAGACACAAAGCCCTTTTATTATATACACAGCAGTGAAGGGGGGAGCAGGATGGATTACAAATAATTACTTTTGTGGAGGTGGGGAGGGAGGGGGGGAAGAGGCTTCTTAAAGGGGAAAATGCAAAACTGTTTCATTCGAATTTAGGGCAGAGAAACTTCCACTATAAAGATGTCACACTCCGGAAAAACGGTAACCTTTGCGCAATGTAGCCTTAGGATGCATATGCAACACTAATACCACATTGCGTGACAAAATTAACAGGAAATTCAATGTACAACAGCTCCCTATTTCTCTGAAAGGCTCGGACTCAAGATAGGGCACAGTCAATGGTCACCCTCTGGTATCTGCCTTAATTTGCCACACGTCACCTGTGAGATTAATGTGTCGTCAGCAAAGTATTCGACTGTGGTCAGAAAATCCCCAACATCCACTTTCCAAAAGAATCACAAGAGTACGATCAGTTTCAGTAAACTTTACATACAGCCCTGTCCACCCCCTTCCATACAGACCTGTCCGTTCTCTCGGCTCAGCAGGCTCCGGTTTGGTACATGTCCCCCAACCCGTCCACCCCAACATCGGGGGTCAGGCCTTCAGCTTCTCCGCCCCACCCTTTGAAACTCCACCCCGGAAACTAAATCCCTGTCCCTTCGACTCGCCCGCTTCCTTGACTCCTTCAAGACTTCTCTCAAGACGCTCCTCTTCAACTGCACCTTCAGTCACCCTCCTACCCCTAACCTCTCTGAATGGTGTGGAAGCTGAGGGAGGTAGGAAAGGGAACGAAAGATGGCCAAAAGCTTGGTCAAAGAGATAAGTCTCAATGTACTTTGAAAGTGGAGTCGGAATGACTCTGGGATGGAGTTCCACAGAACAGGTACAGAACAGTTGACAATTTGCCCACCGATGATGGGGATGGATAGGGCAGGGGACAGCCACCCCAACTCTGAAATATCTCTGGACCTCAGTTCAAATTCTTTCGTGAAGTTAATGGAGTGAAAAGTCTTTCTACACTCACTGAGAACTAAAGAAGCAGAACAGCATTTAAAACCTTTTAACGTTGTTTAAAAATTGGGTTAGATAAATAATTGTAGGAAAAGTGCAGGGGAATGGGATTAAATAGCTCCAATGGGGAACTTAGCATCTGCAGCCACATTCAGTCACATGGCCTCCTTCTGAGCGGTCAATTTTCCATGTTAAATTTAGAACAACTTAAGGATGAAAAAACAAATTTAAGCCTTTAAATGTTAATGTCTGGACTTAAGAAATTGCACAACAGAAGTGATACAATTGCTCGATGTGGTGAAAACGTACTGTGTAGTTCCTTATTTAGTGCAAAGCGGAAGGAACACACCACTTCTTCAGTGTAGACCGATATTTTAGTGATTCTCAACAGTAGGACAACTGGGGCTAACTTTCAATCTGCACAAAAACAAGTCTTAAATAATAATCCTTGCATTTGATACAGCACCTCATCACGTCGAGACGCCTCAAAGCACTTCACAGGATATACTGTAAATTTTTGTGGGTGAAATGCAGCAGCCAATTTGTTATAGACCCTTCTTTTTATTAACAACCAATAAAGCACGATTTGTTCTTTTATTTTTTAAAAACAGGAAGAAAATAACAGGTACATCAAACTTCTGACAGGTGACTGGTGGCTGTGAGGAAAATGTGTAAAAACATAAGTATGTGTACAAAGTTCAACTCAGTCAAGTAATTTGTCACAACACCTGGATCTAAAGCTTTTAGAAAACTATGATTTGCAAAATCCCTGTCAGTACTTTACGGGGCTGCCATTTTTAACTTTCTCTCCATTCCTACCTGAAGCTGCTCATCTTATTACACTGGATGTTCTGGGAAATATACAGCAGCCCTCTGGCCTAAATCTGGGCTATCATCAATGACCGCACACAGTTGAGTAAATGTCTCTCAAAGAGATTTTCAATTAGAGTAAAACTCGACCAAAACGTATGAAAAATAAACAAGTCAATTGTGTTTTTTTTACCATCTCAGAATGTGATTTCACTTTAAGAATACTTTCAAGACAAAAGTTAAATTACAACAACCTGAATTATCAATGATCCTCACGTGGAAACTGATGGGATTACATGTGAGCAAATGGCACACTGGCGATTTGTAGTAAATTCAGTTGCCCGATGCCAAGCTATTCAACATTTTATCATGGCAGAGAAGGAAGATGGTGCAGATTAGAGGGTTTGAAAGAACTTCCTAAACTGCTCTGCAATTCCTTCCCTTGTATGTTTCCTGTGGTTTAACCTCATGTCATAGAGCAGTGGAAGTCCTCAATCTGTGCTGGATCTTCTGTACCAGAATCTAGCTCTGAAGTCATCGCTGCAGGTCATGAAACCAGGATTGGTAGGAGAGTGGACTATGCAGCGAACAATGTTGTTGTGCCCTAGAGACAGCAGGTTCTTCCGTTCAGCTGTTCGCGAGTCCCAGCAGCAGAGGCTGATGGTCCTTTCGTCAGGGAGCAGCACATAATCCTCCGTATGGTTGAAGACAGCCTGGGTGCGATGGGTCTGTCTGCCACTCAGTCCTGCTCCTAAAGCACAAAGGGAAAAAAAAGCATCTTTAGAAGATCATTATTAATATTGATCTTTTAGTCACTAGGCTGATTCAAGGGCACTATAATAATAATACGTCTCAAAGCACTTCATAGAATATATTGTAAAGTGAATTGACTGTATATTGTGTGCGTGAAACACAGCAGCCAATTGCACAGCAATGTCCCACAAACATTCGTGGATTGAGTGACCAAATTATTATTTTTGTAATAAAATTTGGAAGCAATTATTACCCCTGAAAAGCGATCCGCCATTCAACTAACAATCGGTTTCCTCCTTACTGCTAGGTAAACAGAGGCGTGTGGAGTAAAGGAAATGCGCCTAACATTTTGTGCTGCCTGGGAATCAAACCCAGGTTCTCTCGATTGCGAGTGTGCTAACCACTGCACTATAGGACTCCACAATTCGAAAAGAGAAGAGACTCTTGACCAACAATCCCCCAAATAAAATTCATTGTTCACGACATGCCTGTTTGTGGGTACTGGGAAGACAGAAATGTTTTGCGGTTCTATAGGTTTTCTGAAAGTTCTGTTTGTTGTGAACACCGGTTGCAACAAGCAGAGCACCTGTTCTGTCGAGGTCTGTGGTACACAAGCAGACTGCAAAAAATATTTACAATTGCTGAGCAGAATTGATTTTATCGGTTTTAAGTCTCGTGTTCTCATTGCCACTGAGGATAGGGTAACCCAGCACATATTTGTTGCCAATCCTGGGACTTTCCGAGTCTATTTCAGTTACACTAAACACAGTCACTTATCAACCAAGCCACAGTGGGCTAGGAGGAAGGAAGAGCCACTTTTTTTTAAAGTTAACTGGCGCTATGGTCATTGTAGATTTCTGCTGTGAGGACTGCAGTAGAATTTTGAGATTGCCACAGATAAGAAGTTCAACCATAAATATAATAAAATGCAATTGCAAAGGATCTAACATTATTTTGCATTGTATAATTATACTTAATGAAAATTGAGAAATGAAAGGTAGAAAGTGCAGAAAATGACAAGAGTACCATGGCACAAAATCCCTGACAGAGCACTAACCACACAGGAAGAGCTAAGAGAATGCAACTCGTACTGTATGCGTTTTTGGCCTTGGGCTTCATTCAAGTTAACTCCTTGTCTACACTGCGCCAACATTTTTGCAACATTGCAAATAGAACATTAACAAACATATTAAAAATGGAATTATATGACTCAGTGCATTAGTTAGTGGGGTCAGAAAGTGGAAAATATAATCCTGGTCCTACATTGCTTGTTATATACTAAGGCATGTAGTATTGACCACTAGATATTAATACATTGCTTGAATGAATAATCCGCATTCAGAAAACATATTGAACTTTCTAAGTCTAGTTCCAAGTAATAGGAGCTAATATCATTAATAATAACAATCCTTGTATTTGATATAGCCTTATCACGTCGAGATGTCTCAAAGCGCTTTACAGAATATACTGTAAAGTGAACTGACTGTATATTTTGTGGGTGAAATGCAGCAGCCAATTGTGCGCAGCAGCGTCCCACAATCGGTCGTGAATTGAAGTGACCAATTTATTATTATTTTTTTTTATTACACTTGGAAAAGCGATCCACCAATTGACTAACAACTGGGTTTCTACTTACTGCTAGGTAAACAGAGGCGCGTGGAGTAATGCCCAACTTTTTGCCCTGCCAGGAATCGAACCCAGGTTTTTCGCTTGCGAGGTGAGTGCTCTTAGCATTGAGCCACAGGACTCCAATATCATATAAAGAAGGAAAACACGGTTGGCTTTAACTGTATGAATTGCATTTCGAGCATAGCACACATACAGCAAAACAGCTGTGATTCCCATTGTGAAGTCACGGCAAAGACTTGCTTATGTTGTGCTGAGCAGATTTCTAATGGCAAACCAAAATAGCGCCTCAAACAGGTGCTCAAGAGGAAAATAATAATGGACATTGGAAGCAAGCCCAGAAATGGGATTAGAGCAGGTAGCTTGTTCACTGAAGAAAAATACTGAACTCACAGTAATAGTTACACAGATTTGTTTACAGACTTGCTTGCATTGTTTTTCTGAATCTGGATTTACTTTGGCATAGTGAAGCCACACAAAATCAGAAAATATATTCAGACTCCAAGCTGACCATGGCCTGTTTCACATCTCTGTCCAAGCTCCAATTCAGCGTTCGAGTTTGGCGATGAACTTTAAACCATAACTCCATGGATAAATCACAAGGGGTACAAAAATTAAATAAAACATAGATAACTGCACTTACAATTCAGTTTTCAAAATGTTTTTTTTACTTGCTCTCTGCACAGCGGGAAAGTTGTGTGTGCCGTGACCTGGCTTCGGAAGGGGACGAATGAGGAGAATACAGACTGCCTGCGGTCTCAAACAACTCTCTTTAAACTAAATATTTTCAGAATTGGGTTAGTTTCTTTACTTGCTCTCTGCACAGAAAGTGGATTAATATCTAATCTATCAGGACAAAATTCTGCTGAATCCAGTGTGCTCTTTGTATATTAGATGCAGTGTAATTTGGGATGTAAACTTCTAAGGACTCAAAAGCTTCTCAGAAGATCTAAGAAATTCTTCACAGATATCATGCCAATCCTGCTTAAACACCACCCACTACTTGAGTTTCAATAATTCTCAGTTTCGGAAGTCAGAGTTGCACATATCCTGAAATGGAATCTGGGACTTACAAGTTTTACTTAATTTGGCCCACTTTCAAGAATCCGACCAAAAGTGTCAAGAGTGAACTCTCCAGCGATTGAAATGTCCACAATGTTAGCTGTAAATTTACTGCTCACAACACTCAAGATCATTCTGATCTTCAAAATTTGCACATCGATCTCACCCATTATATGAGGATCTGCATTGGTTCTTCGAAAAGCAGTATCCATGTTAATAAATCTTCGCTTGTGCGTCGGAACCAGGCCTGCATTTTCCCCGCAAAATTAAACAACTCCCCACAATTTCACCTTCAATCTCCCCTTCAAAGGAGTCAGCATGAACTAGTGCTTATTCAGCAATTCAACAACAACGTACATTTATATAGCGCCCGTTCCGTTTAGGATTAGAGACAGGGAGAAAGCTAAAGTGAAGAAGAGAGTTAGACGGAGAAAAAAATCAGTGAGAAACAGAAGGATTGGCACAATAATGACCATATCTCCTGATGAAACTTGTAAGGGTTTATATTTTGTGTGATCAACATATTATCCACAAAAGGTCTTGTCCCAGTTAGCGAAGTGATTAAGCTCTCAACTGTAACAGTCTCAGCAAAGTACAATATAAACATGCTGGTCATTGCTTCATCTACTGACGAAATGAAGCTTGCCTTTTGCCTGCACTGAGGTTAAGAATACAATGTAATATTGAAAGAATATATAGAAAAACATTTAATGTACATTTGTCTTCGTTCCTGCGTTTTTTTTATTTTAATATTAATTTGGCTTAATGTCTTTCCTGGTTTCTCTCTTTCTCTACCACTTTTGATTTCCCTTTTTTCAGTTCTGCCTTCTTATTCTACATATCCTTCCCTTTTACACTTCACAAACAATTATGTGTGGCTGAACCTTTGGATACTTTTGGAGTCCTGTGGCTCAGTGGTTAGAGCACTCGCCTTGCAAGCGAGAATTGGGTTCAATTCCAGGTAGGGCGAAACCTTGGGCAAGTTTCCTTACTCCACACGTCCGATAATAACCCCTCCAAAACAAAAAATAATAAATTGGTCATTTTCAATCCATGACTGTTTGTGGGACACTGCTGTGCGCAATTGGTTGTCGAGTTTCACCCACAAATATATGGTCAATTCACTTTGCAGCATACTCTGTGAAGCACTTTGAGACGTCGAGACGACGTGAAAAGTGCTATATCAAATGCAAGGATTATTATTATTATGTTTTAACCTATTTTTCCAGCCTCATTTACTTGCATCCAGTTTCTTCCTGCCTCCAATCAGCACTGTAGCATTCCCAACAAAAGAAGTGCCTTGAAATTCACCAGCAACGGCTCAGGATACAAAACCAGCTGACCAGCCACAACTGGCTTTCCTGGACCTCCTGTCACCTGTCAATTTCTACTGTGAGGAAGCTATATTTATAGAAACCACCTGAAAGGTCCCTTCGAGCAACTGTCACCAGCAATCTTTAATAGTAACAATCCACGTCCACATTGAATAGACCTCCAGTGAAGACGGTCGCACAACAGAGAAAAAGGACCATTTGTAATCCACGGGAAGGTTTACTGAAAGCAGCATCACATTGAATGTAAATGCTGAACATAGTATACGGTTTCAGTTTTAAGGTTCTTAAAGTTAAAGCATCCAACGAGGCCAAAGCAACCTTAAAAGCAACTAGTGCTTTGACTGAATTTTTCAGTAAAGAATCCTCACACTGCTTTTCTATTGGGACACAAATACTTTCTGACTGTCTATTTTTGAAAGGAACTAATGAAGGAAATAAGTTATTTATAACTTGTATAATAATAATAATCCTTGCATTTGATATAGTGCTTTTCACGTCTTCTAGATGTCTCAAAGTGCCTCACAGAATATACTGTAAAGTGAATTGATTGTATATTTGTGGGTGAAACGCGGCAGCCAATTGCACATAGCAGTGTCCCAAAAACAGTCGTGGATTGAAAATGACCAATTTATTATTGTTTTGTTTTGGAGGGATTATTATTAGGAGTGTGGAGTAAGGAAACTTGCTCAAGGTTTCGCCCTGCCTGGAATTTGGGCGCAGGCTGGCAAACGGCAAGGTTTGAAGACTCAAGAGTGCTTGTTAGGGTACAGCTAAAACTGCATAGCTTGCCACTGAAAGCACTATCTGGCAAGCTAATTTGAATTAGTTAGCTAACATAGGTGCAGTAAAGAGGAAGCTAGACCTTCACATGAAGGAGAGGGGAAAAGCCGAGTGGCCTGTTTCCGTGTTACATTCTTTGTAAATCTCTATAATCTATCTAGCAAAGTTGTTCAAGATATTGTTTATGTGAAAGGTTCAGTATAAATGTAAATAGTTGTTGACTGATGATTTAGTCAAGCCCTAAATTCTCTTACATCTCATTCCTGCTCAGTGCTCCCTATCATATCTGTGAAGCACACTGAGACTCAAAAAAGGGTTGTACAAGTTTAAGTTCTTGTTGGGTGGGAAACTCCAACAGTCATGGAAGTAAATGGTCTATTCATAGAATCGTTGAATTATACACCACAGAAGGCGGCCATTCAGCCCATCGTGTCTGTGTGGGCTCTTTAAAAAGAGCTATCCAAATCAATCCCACTCCCCCGCACTCTCCCCACAGCCCCGCAAACTTGTCCTCTTCAAATAATTATCTACTTCTCTCTTAAAAGATGTTATCGAATCGGCTTCCATCACCCTTTCAGGCAATGCATTCCAGATCCGAACAACTCGTTGTGTGAAAAAAATTCTCCTCACCTCCCCTCTGTTTCTTTCAACAACAATTTTAAATCAGTGCCCTCAGGTTACCGACCCATCCACCAGAGGAAATAGTTTCTCCTTCTTCACCCTATCAAATCCCCTCATAATTTTGAAACCTTCCATTAAGTCTCCTCTTAACCTTCTCTGTTCCAAGGAAAATAATCCCGGCTTCTCTCGCCTCTCCTGATAACTGAAGTCCTTCATTCCTGGTACCATCCTGGTAAATCTCCTTTGCACCCTCTCCAATGCCTTGACATCCTTCCCAGAATTGAACACAGTCTCTCGCTGAGGCCTAACCAGTTTTTTTATAAAGATTCATCATAACTTCCTGACTTTTATATTCTATGCCCCTATTTATAAAGCCTGGTATCTTGAATGCTTTTTTTTTTTAAACAGCTTTATCTCCGTGTCCCGCCACCTTCAAAGATTTACATATATGAACCCTCAGGTCTCTCTGTTCCTTCACCCCCTTTAAGACTGTACCATCAGCTTATATCGCCTCTCATCATTCTTCCTCCCAAAATGCATCACATCGCATTTATCTACATTAAACTTCATCTGCCCCGTGTCTGCCCACTTTACCAGTCTGTCTTTATCCTCTTGCAATCTGCTACTATCCTCCTCACTGTTTACTACTTTTCCCAGCTTAGTATCATCTGTAAACTTGGAAATTGTATTAGTTCATTAGATTTTGGATTTGTTATCCTACCTGTGTATTTGACCATTGTACGGCCAGTCGATATCTCCCACAGTTTCACGATAGAATCCTTGCCGCTTGACAAAACATATTTTGAATTTCTTGAGAACATGATGGAGCAGACCTCAGCTCCATCGTGCGCCTTCTCGTAGGTGGTGATGCAGCGGTTGGACACGCCATCCCAAAGCTTGACGTTGCCATCCTTGCTGCACGTGACGTACATGTTGGCGCTGGGGTTGTAGCTGACAGCACAGATGGCATCTGTGTGCTGATCACGAGGGTTGCTCGAAACAAAACACTGGAAAGTATTGATGTCATACAAGCGCAGTGTAGGATGCTGAGTGCCCACCAGGATGTAGTCCCCAGAAGGATGAAAGGAGATGGAACGCAGCATTTCTGCTTCCTGAAAGAAAACGATAGGTTCCCAAAGTGTACCATCTTAATACCATAGAATAAATACGTGAAGATTCTCAGCGCAAGCAGTGAGTAGTGAGAAACTCTTAGGTTTGACTTCAAAAGAATGTAAAAATTAAGTAGCTAACTGTATTATTCAATGTTTGGACTCAGAAACAGACCATTCAGATCATCAAGTCTGTACTGGTGTCACATGAGCTACCTAATCTAATTCCAGTCTCCTGCTCATTCCCATATTCTGCAAAATAACTTTTTGCAGTGCTTACTGGTAATTATCACAGACTACTGTAAAGCAATGCTTCATTTAAGTTATTGGGTGGGGCACATATTAGGACAATGGGCATAGTGTAGTACTGATGTCCAACGTTGCCCAGAGGGATGGGATGTGATTTTGTATTCATAATTCCATCCCTCACTCTCTACTCTCAGCCAGCCATTATGTTCTCAAACAACTTCAGACAAAGTTGTTTTAAGTTGTTTCAGAACATAGCATACCAGGCTGAATAGCTCATAGATCAAATGTTATATTAAAATAATATAAAACATGTCTGGGAATATGGCAGGGCAGCTGAGACCGGTTGCATGCACAATGTGTGCCGTGTGGGAACTCCAGGATGCTTTGTGTGCCCTGGACAAACATATGTATAGGAAGTGCCTCCAGCTGCTCAAGAAAGAAAGATCGCCAGGTAAAACAGCTAACCACCAATGGGAATCCTTCAAGGAGGAGATAGTTTGGGGACAGAACAAATACATTCCCACAGGGGAAAGGTAGGGCATCCAAATCTCCCTGGATGACTAAGGAAATTGGGATTAAAATAAAACAGAAAAAAGAGGCTTATGATAAATGGCAGGTTGAAAATACAGAAGATAATCAAATAGAATACGGAAAGTACAGAGAAGAACTGAAAAAGGAAATAAGAGGGGCAAAGAGATTGCGTGAGAAAAGATTAGCGGATAACATAAAAGGGAACCCTAAGGTAGTTTATAAGTATGTAAAGAATAAAAGGCTAGTCAAAGGTAGGATGGGGCCAATTAGGGACCAAAGAGGAAATATTCTTGTGGAGGTAGAGGGTATGGCTGACGTACTGAATGAGTACTTTGCATCTGTCTTCACAAAAGAAGAGGATGCAGCCAAAACCACAGTATCGGAGGAAAGGGTAGAGAAATTGGATAAGAATAAATCGAGGAGGTACTGAAATGTTTGACGGTGCTCAAGATAGATAAGTCACCTGGTCTGGACAGGATGCATCCTAGGATACCGAGGGAAGTAATGGTGGAATAGCGGAGGCTCGGGCCACAATCTTTCAATCCTCCTTGGACACTGGGGTGGTGCCAGAGGACAGGAGGGTTGCAAATGTTACTCCTCTGCACTAAAAGGGGCAGAAGGATAAACCCGGGAACTGCCGGCCAGCCAGTCAGCCTAACATCAGTAGTGGGAAACCTTCTAGAGACTATAATGTGGGATAAAACAAATTCCACTTAGAAAAATATGGGTTAATAAAGGACAGCCAACACGGATTTGTTAAAAGCAAATTGTGCCTTAACACACCTGACAAGAGTTTTTTGATGAAGTAATGGAGAGGATGGAAGAAGGTAGTGAGGTTGATGTAGTTTATATGGATTTTAAAAAGGCGTTTGATAAAGTGCCACATAAGAGACTTGTGAGCAAAATAGAAGCCCACGGTATTAAAGGGACAGTGGCAGCATAGATACAGAACGGCTGGGAGACAGAGCACGGTGGTGAACGGTTGTTTTTCTGACTAGAGGGAAGTGTGCTGTGGTGTCCCCCAGAAGTCGGTATTGGGACCACTGCTCTTTTTGATCTGTATAAATGACCTGGATTTGGGTACAGGGAGTACAATTTCCAAGATTGCAGATAATACTAAGCTACGAAAAGTAGTGAACATTGAGGTGGATAGTAGCAGATCATAAGAGGACATAGATAGACTGGTAAAATGGGCAGACAAATGGCAGATGAAGTTTAATGTGGAGAAATGCAAAGTGATACCTTTTGGGGGAATTCAATAGTGAACAAGGGGATTCGATAGGGTGAACAAGGAGAACCTATTTCCATTGGTGGGTGGGTTGGTAACCTGAGGACACCGATTTAAAATTGTTAAAGAGAAACAGAGGGGAGGTGAGGTGCTATTTTTTCGCATAGCGAGTTGTTCGGATCCAGAATCCATTGCCTGAAAGGGCGGTGGAAGCTGATTCGATAACAACTTTAAGAGATAAGTAAATAATTATTTGTGGAGGACAAGTTTGCAGGGCTATGGGGAGAGAACGGGGGAGTGGGATTGATTTGGATAGCTCTTTTGAAAGAGCCGGCACAGACACGATGGGCCGAATGGCTTCCTTCTGTGCTGTATAATTCTACAATTCCTCCTATTTCCCCCCACCACAAGGAATTGTACAAATCCAAGATCTTTACACTATCATATGTTAGGTCAGTGATATGGATTTTGCCTTCTAACCTGGAGATACTTGAAAGCCCTTTTGGCTGAAGGTTTGGAATAGTCGAACAGCTTCAGTGTGTAGTCCTTTGAACCCGAAGCCAATATCTGTTCCGTGGGGTGGAAAGCAAGGCACGTGACCTCATCCACATGATCGTACAGTGTGCGGATTACAGGGTGATTCTCCATGTTCTGCTGTGCCGTCTCATTCATCATAACCTGTGAAGGGCAGTTAATAAAATGTAGCATTAGGAAGATTTTGACTTGTGCTGAAACTGACCACAAGAGATGCTCGGGTGAAGAAAGTAGCACCACTACTGACTTCCTATTTCATCATTCAGTTGCTTCTTAAATGAGTACAGTATCCTGCTCTCAACCATTCTTCCTGGCAAACAGCCCCAGCAGCTAATTACTCTATTCACCAACAGTACAATAGAAGTTGTCATAGGGCAGTAGTAAAGACACCAAAATAATAATCCTTGCATTTGGTATAGGGTCTTATTCACTTCGTTGAAACGCCAAAACGTTTCACGGGATTTACTTTAATGTGTGGCGACGATGTATTTGTAGGCAAACATTCCAGCCAATTTGCACACATTTAAATGTCATAAATAGATATGAAGTCAATGCCAATTTTATCAGGGCCAGATCATGAGAAAGTATAAGCACCCAGCATATTTAAGCATCAATGTGCTATTCTATCACTGTAGAATTTTAAGCCCTTTGAGATGTCCTCCCTACATAAATGTAAATTGGATTGCATATTGTTGTGTAGAGACATTGAGCTGAAGCAGATGCTACTACCCCACTGTGGGGAATGAGGAGGGGGAAGAGAAAGAGAACCAGGTGCTATGTTTCTCTGATCCACTTCCTTGCAATAAGCTTGCAGTGGCTTGGGGATCAGATATAGTTCATATTTAGCCTGGAGCAAGAACAGTGGCATAGGATCAGCTATAGTTCATGCATAGCTTGGGGAGAACAGCTTGAGGTTAATGCCACAAATCACCTTTAGTAATTAACGAATCTACCAGGGGGTGAGCATCTACTGTTTTATTAATGCACAATCCTTCATTCGTAACAACAGACCTTTGGCCACAATGCCCCCTAGTGATGCTTAAAGCACATTGCATAAAACCTAATAATAATAATAATAATAATCCATTATGCATTTGATATAGCGCCTTATCACATCTACAAGACATTTCAAAACGCTTCACAAAATATACTGTCAAGTGAATTGACTGTATGCTTTGTGGGCGAAATGCCTTCAGGGTAGATTTCACAAAAGGTGGAATTGGTTTAAGCTTTTTAATACGAAAAGGTCTTTTTACCCCAAAAATACTTGCACATTGGCAATAAAATAACTACAAAATTATTTTGGTCATTTCTAATTTATAAAGGAGCCTCAGAACAAAGTTACAATGGAAAGGGAAAACAAAATCAGTCTGGTAATAATCCAAAGACTTTTGTAAAAAAAAATTGTAGACTGGATGAGAACAGGAACAGCTATGATGCTGCCACTAATGGAACAACAACTTGCACTTAAAGTAGCACCCTCCACGCTGGGTAACGTCTCAGACCACTTAACAGTGGCAGAGCCTGACTCCGAACTGGGGAAAGGGGGAGGTGGCCTTAAGCCACTGGGGAGCCAATGGAGCCTGGTCAGAACTGGTGAGATGTGGGTACGGAGTTTGGTCCGGGTAAGTATGTGGGCAGCAGAGTTCTGAATGAGCTGGATCTTTTGAAATAGTGGAGCTGGGGAGACCGGTGAAGAGTGCTTTTGAGTAATCCAGGCAGGAGGTGACAAACTAATGTATGAGGGTTTCGGCTGCATTTGGGCTAAGGGACAGTTGGAGGTGGGCAATGTGGGGAAGAATATTGTCACAGAATTCTTTTCCCTTGGAGTGATGATATATCAGGAATTTACCCTAAAAGGCACAATTGCAACTAATGTAGCCCAGGGAAGGTTTATTTCTTAATACATTTGTATAAATGTAATTTGCTCTTATTGCTATAGAATTTCTGTCAAAAATACAAATCCCTACTGGGAAACAGGAACTGTACGGGAGAAGATGGTGTACATTGTATTCTCTTACCTCTAAGGGCATAGCACTCTTTGCTAGCATCCTCTCAGTATCCAAAATCTTAATGGAAGCATCAGCTGAACCTGTAGCAATCAACTGTCCATCTCGGCTGTAGGTGGCAACTCGACAAGGTCCCTTGTGTGATGTGACGTAGCACGTCTCGTACTCAGCAGCCTCTGGGGACATGGTCTGAACATCAGCATCAAACTCCATGTCAATGCCTGTCCCAGGGGCCACAGTGTCCGATCTCCCAATAGCATATTGAACTGTGTTGTCGTCATTTTCCATTCCTGTATGGAACCAAACCATATGATGGGAATCAACACAGGTTCAGTTCAAATTAGGGTTTCAGACAGAACTCCAATAAAAGAAAAACCTTAAAATCACATCGCACTAAAATGTGTCTGTAGAGCAAAGATATCTGAGAAACTGAATCATTTCTTCACATCCTCAATCCAAAGCTTGGGACAAGTCAGCTATGTGAAGGACTTTGACTATGTGAAAGTTACTCTGTAATTTGTAAACAAAATCAATTTTAAGAAAGTGCAATTCAACACAATAAACTGACCAAGTTTGGCAAGATGCAACAGTTGCTCGGAGGGAGAACATATTGAATGTGGCTTAATCTCGTTCATCAGGTTTGATGCAATGTTAGTGTACCCATCATACAGGAGCTGGCTGATAATCAGTCGGTAAAGGTGCTGGCGGTCTTTAAGGGTAACTTTAGGTCGGAACATATCCGGAGTATTTCTGTAGCGTGAGGCGATTCTGAAAAAAAATGAAGACATTTCAAAAATATTGCAACTATTGGGGCAGATGATCACATTGCTTCCATATTAATCTGTAACAATAATCCTTGCAATTTAATATCATTGCCATAACATCAAAACGTTTCAAAGTGCTTCACAGATAATAATAATCCTTGCTTTTTTTTTGATATAGCACCTTATCATGTCGTTCGGTCATCTCAAAGCACTTCACAGAAAGATAACCATTGTCAAAGTGTAATGATTATATTTGGATCCTCTTTTTCAATTGTGCCATGGTATCTTTGGACATACACAAGCAGAAGGGACTGCAGTTAAGGTCTTATCGCAGGCAGGTTTGCAGTACTTCAAGTATTGTATCCTGCTGATAATAGTCCAGCCGGCCTGGTTCATTGGCAGAACTTTGGAGGACACATTGGGGCCAAGGATTTTTCTCATCTGGGATTCCCAAGCTTTGGCTTTCAACAATTTGTGCCTATAATCAGGGTATATCCCTCCAGACCGGGATTATATTATATGCCATCTATGCATGGGAATGAAATTCCCATGCATAGATGGCATATATATTAGGAACTCTCAGTCTGGTTTGGATACTCTTAAGCATGGTGACGGGTGATCTTGCCAACCACATGTGTGATGTGTACACATTCGTACATCCAGGGCTTGGAATACACTTTGGTTGGTTTGTCGGGATAATAAGCAGCAGCTGCTTAAGATCCCAACCTACAAATGTGTAACCACTCAGTGGGAAGGTACGTGTGTCCGAGCTGTGGGTAGGAAGCTGGGTGGCAATACTCTCCACACTTCACGCTGAGCTGTGTTGCCCACCAGGAAGTTTGCAGGGTGGGCAACACGGCTGATACCTGCAATCTAACTGGTGAGGGCTCAAAACCATGCTTGTCAAATATCAAGTGGTGATCCTCCCTGGGAAGACAGGTCATCACAGGTAAGACTGTGGCTACACACATAGGCATTTTCCGACAGAGAATACTCTACAGTGATTACAAGTAGGAACAATGGTTTAAATATCTTAGGTTTTAAAAAGTCTGACTGTAAAACACAGGGTGGGGGAATATACAATTAAACCCTAATTCTGCAAATCCCACAGTAAACTTAATGTAAGAAATAACTTATTCATTGTACCTGCCTCACTGCGAGTACGAGCCTGCAGCAGTGAATAGTCTGGATCAATTCCTGATGCAGTAAGCAATGGAGCTCCATGTTGAAACTTTGGAGCTCACATTTGATGTTGACACTCCAGATCAGTGCTGGGGAGAGCTGCGTCAGAGGGGATCTCCTTCAGATGAGATGTTAAACCAAAGGTCCATCTATCTGCATGTTCAGGTGGATGTTAAACATCTCTTGGGGACGGGGGTGGGGAGGGGACATTGCTCTCCCCTCTCCCTGTCAGTGTGGTTTGGTTGGGGGGGGTGGGGACATATTCTCTCCCCACTCCCTGTGATGGTGAGGGTGTAATCCCGGGTGGTGGGGCCATTTTACGGGGCTGTCAAAGGATTAAGGGTTACCTTGTGGCGGTGACTCGCAATGAAGCCGCAGTTGGTCCAAATGTGGCTGCCGGGCAGACACTGCTCATGGCCCCGAGTTGCACACGCGAACTATCCGCCTGTCTGCCCTCAGGAGCCCTGCAGCACAAGCAGAGGCCTTTCCGGCCAGCGGTGCTGGGGGGGGGGGTGGAGGAGGGGGAGGCCGCAGAGATGAAAATCTGTTTGTAGCCCAAAGTCAACCAAACGATATCTCAAAACTAGCTCAACGTTATGCATTGCTTGCTGTACAGGTCGCTGAGCGGCCAATTTAGGTCAGCGCTTTTCGAAATTGTGGTTAGAAAAGGTCTTCAAAGGGTCTGGAAAAAAGTTTTGCAGGTTTTTTTTAAATTAGGCACCCACCCAAAGCCGTTTTTTCACACTCAGTACAACAAAACCCACCCGAATTAATAATAATCCTTGCATTTGGCATAGCGCCTTATCACAACAATAACAAAATGACATTTGTATAGCGTCTTTCACATCGGGAGGACGTCCCAATGCGCTGGACAATCAGTGTTTTGGGCCCAAGATGGGGATCGGGAACTGGAAGGGTGGAGGGCGGGAGAAGGAGGGTGATCGAAGGCACAATCAAAGAGAGCCTTGAGATGGGTCCTGAAGAAGGCAAGGGAATAGGCGACGCGGAGCGACTGCGGGATGAAGTTCCAGAGGGTGGGGGCAGAGTGGCTGAAGGCCCGCCTGCCAATGGTGGGGTGGGCGAGGCGGGAGACGTAAGCAGGCCGGAGCTCGCTGAGCAGAGGAAGCTGGCAGGATGGTTGGGGGTTTAGGAGGTGTCTTCGAGACACCTCAAAACACTTCACTTAATATACTGTAAAGTAAAGTGACTGTATATTTTGTGGGCAAACGCAGCAGCCAATTGCGCACAGGAGATGGTGGTTGATGCATACTCAAATGTTAATAAATAAATTGTCAAAAATCCAGATTGTATAATTTACATGGAACTGCTCTTTATTACATTCTGAATTTCCAAAATATCCATCGACTATTCAGAGTTTGGATGACATATTTCTTGGATTGCTCTTTATCAGTGGGTGAATGTGCTTATATTTGGGCTCAATATTGACTTGTAGAGTAAAATCGTATAAGCTCCGATATTTGATTCGGTGCAGTCTGGTGGCATCCCGACACAGTTCCTCCACAGACTTTGTGGAACTCAAGTTAAGGTTCTTTTCACCCATCCAGTGAGGATCATTGGGATAAAGCTCATCACCTGGGAGAAGCTGAATGAATCCATCAGAAGCGGCCAGGCGGACTGGGAGCCAGCACTCGCATCCTTCCAGCTCCCGCTCGCGGCTGAACTCATGGAGGCCTTGCAGGGAAGGGAAATGGCAGAGTCTAGATAATTCATAGTACTGTGGAGGGGGCAACCAGATCCCATCTGGGGTGAAACGCTCCAGCGCTTCATGTGGGGTCAGCCAGTTGTACAAAACAGTTTCTTTCTTGTCCTGCGTTGTGAAGGGGATTTCTTGCACACAGCAAATAAAGAACGCAGTATCGTATCTTCTGCTCTGTCCCAGGCCAGTGGGGGTCAGCCAATTATTCCACTCTTTCAAGGCCCAAATATCAGGGATGCAACTCAACTCTCTGCACATGGCTAGAAAATTGACCGGGTTTTTCTGGACACGGGCTCTCCATACCTCCAGTTCCTTCCATTCATATTCAGGAAGCTGTGGGATGCCCTGGCCACCCGGATGCTCATAATTGGACCTCACCAGCAGCACTCCCGACTCTTCAAAGGTTTCCCTAATGGCACATATGCGGAATCCTATCTCCCCGGGGACAGGAGATCCTAGTTTCTTCCTATCGGTTGCATAGATGGGAGACCTGCCAGTCGTTTGCTGGACTGTGCCCAGATTGAAGTCGGGGGGTTGGCCAAAGGGCCAGAAAACTTCAATCCAATCGCTTGAGAAGTCTGAGGGGTCGATCTGACCCCCCGGAAACACGTGAGCGTTGGGCATGAACTTGCTGTTTCCACTGCGCTGTAAGAGTAGCACCGCGTAATCAAATGCAGCCACCTCTGGCCTAGCCCAAGCAGTGGCATCTCTCTGTATGTTGGGCAGCAAAGGCAAGGCCAAGGGGTCAGCGCTGTGTGCTTTGCTGACACTCTCACTCAGGGTGTGCTTTCGGGTCCCTGCAGCCAAAACCACAGTTGCCGCCTCCTTCCAGTGTTTTAAGAGAGTGTTCATTTCAACTGGAAAAGAGCAAAATGTTTAATTTTTTTCTCCTTTAATCCCCTCTCCTGATGGCGCTGACTCAGCCCCTTCCCCCAATAACCCACCCAAGTGGTTAGTCTTTGCTTACAGTGCATGCCAGCAGGCTAATTTAACTGTGGAGAACTCAGGTCAGCAGATCATGTCATTGATATTCAACTGTAAGGAGAGAATGTCACTGGATAGAGATCAGGAGTAAGAGCCCTCATTTTTCCTTTTGTGACCCCAGAGGCCATTTGTAGTGCTCTTCCTGCTGCCTGAGCTAATTCAGAATCTAGAATTATGCGGGATTCAATTCCAATGTGAGCAGTGCCTTATCCTACTGAGCAATTGTTTAATAAAGGATAATGCAGCACTCACTCTGCACTGCATGTGCCTTTGCTCCCTTCTTCCTTGTGTAGAGCTTTGAGCCGTTCACTCTCCTAGTGCAAGTTATTTATTATGAGCTGAAATCCTTGTGCAGTGAATCCAAAACTTTCTGACCCAAGAGGAGAGAACGTCATCAATTAAGGCGCACTGACTATAATTAATCGTTCAGGATTTCACAGGGACCATGGATCAGAATTAACGTTTGGTTTGATTTAATTTCAGCACACGCATTATTAAAGAGACATATTCTTGAGGTAAAGCATTTGGATGAACTAGGCCAGTTCTCGTTTAGGAATGGAGACAAACTGGAAGAGCATGAGTCATCTGTATAGCAACAACAACAAAATTACATTTGTATAGCACCTTTCACGCTATACAAATGGATGTCCCAAGGCGCTGGACAGTCAGTGATTTGGACCCGAGCTTGGGGTCGAGATTTGGGAGGGTAGAGGGCAAGGGGGGGGAAGGGTGATCAAAGAGGAGGGTCTTGAGATGGGTCTTGAAAGACCCAAGGGAGGGGGTGAGGTGGAGGGACCTCGGGATGGAGTTTCAGAGGGTTGGCCCGGCCGCCAATGGCGGGGCGGGCGAGGTGGGGGATATGAAGCAGGCTGGAGCCCGCTGAGTGGGGGGAGCAGGCAGGTTGGTAGAAGGTTAGGAGATCATAGAGGTAGGGGGAAGCGAGGCCATGGAGGGCTTTGAAGGTGAGGACCAGGATCTTGAACTGTATCCTCTGTGTGATGGGAAGTCAGTGGAGTCAGGCAAGGATGGAGGTAATAGCGTCACAGAACCTGGTGCAGGAGAGGTCACAGGCTGCAGAGTTCTGCATGATCTGCAGCCTATGGAGGGAGGAGTTGGGGAGGCCAACAAGCAATGAGTTTGATAGTCAAGCCTGGATGTTATGAACGCACAGAATGTTACGCTGCGGTGTAACACTCTGCGATGGGCCGGCCAGCTCCACATCACTGTATTGTTGGCAGTGAAGTGGCTTTGCTTCCAGTGGTATGAAAAAGCAACAACAGGAACAACAAATGCAAGGATTGCCCACAAATATATAGTCAATTCACTTTACAGTGTGTTCTGTGAAGCGCTTTGGGACGTCCTCCCGACGTGAAAAGCGCTATATCAAATGCAAGGATTATTATTATTATTATTATTATTGTTATTGATACTCTGGAAACTCTGGAACACACTCCATCAATCTTGCCCCCTCTCTCCCTTTTTCAAGTCCTGAAAACCTTCCTCTTCGACTGCGCTTACGACCACCTCCCCGAACCCCACCACCCCACTCCCCACCCAGCTCGGAGTCAGGCACCACCACTGCTAATAATACGGTAGGGGGGCAGAAACTGAATAGGAACCCAGGAGGGAAGGAAGGATATGCCCAAACATGCGAGTCTTTCTCATCCTGTGGTTTTTTTTTAAAAAAAATTAAATGGGAGTTTGTAAAACGTAGAAAAATGGTCGGCCTCACAAAATAAGAGAGCAGTGACGGTCGGTGGTGAGGGTGAATCTTGACACCCATGGTTTTAAGGCACTTTTAAAAATATAGAATCATCGTTTTCATGGCACTATTGGAAAAGAGAAGGGATTTTCTCTCTCTCCTGGTGTTCCCGGCCAACAATTCCCCCAAATAAAATCAGTCACTCACTCCATGTGATCTCTGCGGGGCATTGCCCTGTGCAAACTGGCTGCTGTGTTTCACAGTCAATCCACTTTGCTGTGACTCTGAGACATCTCCACGATGTGATAAGTCGCTATATCGAAGGCAAGAATTATTATTACTATAACTGCGGGCATGAGGAATTATATATATATATGTGGAGTCCTGTAGCTCAGTGGTTAGAGCACTCGCTTTGCAAGCGAGAGACCCGGGTTCAATTCCAGGCAGGTCAGGGCGAAACCTCGGGCAAGTTTCCTTACTCCACACACCTAATAATAATCCCTCCAAAACCAAAAACAATAATAAAATTGGTCATTTTCAATCCACGACTGTTTGTGGGACACCGCTGTGCGCAATTGGCTGCCGCGTTCGCCCACAGACGCGCAGTCAATTCACTTTACAGTGCGTTCCGTGAAGCGCTTTGGGACGTCCTCCCGACCTGAAAAGCGCTATATCAAATGCGAGGATTATTATTATTATATATATATATATACACACATATACACACAATGCACGTGTATACGTGTATATGTGTACCGTGTATACGATGCAGTTGCAAAAACCCGGGCAGGGGAGTGAGGTGGAGAGAGAGAGGGAGAGAGGGAGAGCTGCCCCCCTCCCCCCCCCCACACACACACACACACACACAGGCCTCACTGTCGTGCCCTGTAACCACAGGCCGCCATGTTGCCCCCCCCCGGGCCTCCTGTCGGGCGAGCCGCTCACTTTTGGAAACCCCCCGCCCCTCCCTCCCTCCCCAACACACACACACCCCCCCCAACCCCACTTACCTGCCGAAGTTCAGCATCAGCCCTCTCCTCCCCTCAGCCAGGCCTCAGCCAGGCCCAGGCCGCAACCCCACACCGCAAAGACGAACCGCCTCCTCGACTCAACCCAACAGCCCGAAGTCCCGACAAAACTAGCGCAGCATTATTATTATTATTATTATTATTATTATTATTATTAGCTGTGAGTGGCCTGATTTCAGGTCGGTCCCTGTTTTTTTTCCCTCCCCCTCCCTTCCCTAACTCCCTGAAAAAAACCCGTCAAATGATTTTTTTTAACAGAAAAATGGCGGCGCCGCCAAAACAACCGTTGCTTTCAAACCGCCTTCCCCTTTTCCCCGCCCCGTCCCGCCCGCGCGCGCGCGCGCAGTGAGCGCAGTGACAACTGTTAAAGCCGCCCAATTTGGGCGGGAAACCGGCTCGGTCGGCTGACGTCACCCGCGCACGCACCCGCGCACGCACCCGCGCACACCAACACAGCGCCATCTACAGGCCGCGGAGGCCAAGTGGTCGCTCAGCTGGTGCCCCCCCCCCCACCTCCTCTGGATGGACATGGGACATGGTCAGTGCCCTGGAATATTGTGGACCTGCCTTGCCCTGCCCTGCCCTGCCCTGACCTGCCCTACCCTGACCTGCCCTGCCCTGCCTTGCCCTGACCTGCCCTGACCTGACCTGACCTGACCTGCCTGACCTGACCTGACCTGCCCTGACCTGACCTGCCTTGCCCTGACCTGCCCTGCCCTGACCTGCCCTGCCCTGACCTGCCCTGCCCGCCTGCCGCAGAGGTTAACCGGAGCTGAGTGGGATGACCGACCCCCCCCCAGTGACCGGTCTGCCCTCTCAGGTCCTGCCGGTCAGCCAGAGCGGCTGTGCTGCCGTTCAATAATAATAATAATAATAATCCTTGCATTCGATATAGCGCTTTTCATGTCTTCTGGACGTCCCAAAGCGCTTCACGGAATATACTGTATAAGTGAATTGACTGTATATTTGTGGGCGAAGGCGGCAGCCGATTGCGCACAGCAGCGTCCCATATACAGTCATGGATTGAAAATGACCAATTTATTATTGTTTTGTTTTGCAGGGATTATTATTAGGCTCTGTGTGGAGTAAGGAAACTTGCCCAAGGTTTCGCCCTCTGCCGGGAATTGAACTCAGGTCTCTCACTTGCAAAGCGAGTGCTCTAACAGGACTCCACCGGCACCTTGGGACGTCCTCCCGACCTGAAAGGCGCTATACAAGTATAATTTTATAGCGTATTCCCAGGAATACTGTAGATCCAGGTCTGGCTCAGGAACCAGATGACTGAAACCAAGCGAGCGTAGTATCTGTTCTTATCAGTTACTCTATTCCTCTTTTCAGGGAGACGTCTGAAAATAACTTCACAGGACTTATTGCAAAGTTGTGACTGTGCGTTTTGTAGCCAGACACAGCACTCAATGTGCACACAGCACAAGATAATTTCGCTCAATAGTGTCTGCTCTTTAGTAATTGGTGGTGAAAGTGCAGTAGTCATAAAGTCATATCCATGACCCTTAAGAAAAGGAGTTTTGACCCCGTTTTTAAGGGCTCCCCATTGGCTTTGGTCATAAAAGTCACCGGCTAAAGTGTGTATGCATGAATGTGTATATATATAAAAATAAAAAATGTACATTAGCAAATCTGTCAATTTAGTCAAAGCCTCCATGTTGAAGGGCACTAATTTAAAGTCCTAAATTAAGTGCAGACTTGTTTTTCGATGTTAATCCCATTGAGTTTATAAACTCATGTCCTGCAGGCTCCAGCCTCACGCTGCAGAGCTCGATGCTAAGCATTACACTCACATCTCATGCAGCGATCACTTGCTTCACTGTATCACCAGGATACATTTTCTCTGCTACATGTTTTGAGGAGGCATAGCTGTCAGTCTCTGGTGCTTTGCCCAAGTGACCATTCACACTGGCAATGAATGCACTGAGTGCGCCCTGGCTACTCCAACTGTAGCTTGATTCACAAGACCAATTACAATGACACCGGACATCCGCATGCCCATACTTTCCAACAGGTAGTTATTGGAGAAGATACAAGAAAGAGAGAGACAGAGTGAAATAAAGGAGCCCGAGCCATTTTATTTAAGTGGTTGGATTTCTACAGCAAAAAGGGCTTCTCAGAGACACAAGGTAAGGTTGCATGCAAACATAGAATAAGACCTCAGATCCAGGCAGAGCTGTGTGAACTTGCTTGAGGTTTCCTTGGCAGTTCATAGAAGCAGAACCTACTATGGTATTCAACAGGCCATCTCTGCCCTCTTCCTTCAGGACTAGACCAGCAGATCTCAGCTAGGATAACCAAAGAGTGAAGAGATGCCTCCAGTAGGACACTCAGAGAGAAGAGGAGCTCCCTCCCGAGGCAAATGTATTTCAAAGCTGCAGTGCCTCTGATTTCAAAATAAAATATATACTATATATATATTATATATATACCTTCTTACCTTGTTGCAGCAAGAGGGAGAGAAAATTAATTCATCGCACTTAGAGGATACACAGGTTTAGAAACAGAATCTCAATTTTCTTTACAAACCAACTGGCGGTTAAAACCTCCCAGGACTCCTTCAATATCCACGTGTCAGTTGTCTTCACACCCATGGTACACCTTCTGTGTGACAAGCGGTACTGTACTTATTGGGGTTTGATAGGCTACGCTGGCTGCACATTGTGGCCAGCCACCACAATTTACATGAGAACCTTTGTTCTTTTTGTTACCTTTTAAGCCTATTTAAACAGGTAATACTGTTTGTTGGAAAGAGGGGAAAGTAGAGAGGAGGGGAGGGGGTAAATATTTAGGATTTAACATGCTTATGGCACTGCTGCTTTTATCCAGACCAGGTTAAACTACTCACAAACGTACGTATACACACACACAAACCTTCAGTAGAAATCCCATTGTCAGTGCAGTTACTTAATAGAACATCAACCAGATCTCTCCTTGGTTTCAATGACTGCCCACTTGTTTAGAGTTCAATGGTTCGGTTCGTCAGGCACAACTCTTTCTGGAACTTGTGGTTGTGGCTCCTGGAGTCGAGCCGCACTCTGCTCATGCCTCGTCCTCCTCATCCTCCTCAAACTCCCCTTGCTCCTCGGCCGTGGCGTCCTGGTATTGCTGGTACTCGGACACCAAGTCGTTCATGTTGCTCTCGGCCTCAGTGAACTCCATCTCGTCCATGCCCTCGCCCGTGTACCAGTGCAGGAAAGCCTTGCGGCGGAACATGGCGGTGAACTGTTCCGAGATGCGCTTGAAGAGCTCCTGGATGGCGGTGCTGTTGCCGATGAAGGTGGCCGCCATTTTGAGGCCGCGGGGCGGGATGTCGCACACGGCCGTCTTGACGTTGTTGGGGATCCACTCCACGAAGTGGCTACTGTTCTTGTTCTGCACGTTCAGCATCTGCTCATCCACCTCCTTCATGGACATGCGGCCGCGGAACACGGCGGCCACCGTCAGGTACCGGCCGTGCCGTGGGTCACAGGCCGCCATCATGTTCTTCGCGTCGAACATCTGCTGCGTCAGCTCGGGTACGGTGAGGGCACGGTAGTTCTGGCTCCCGCGGCTGGTGAGCGGCGCGAAGCCCGGCATGAAGAAGTGCAGGCGCGGGAAGGGCACCATGTTGACGGCCAGCTTGCGCAGGTCGGCGTTGAGCTGCCCGGGGAAGCGAAGGCAGGTGGTGACGCCGCTCATGGTGGCCGATACCAGGTGGTTGAGGTCGCCGTAGGTGGGGGTGGTCAGCTTGAGCGTGCGGAAGCAGATGTCGTACAGGGCCTCGTTGTCGATGCAGTAGGTCTCGTCGGTGTTCTCCACCAGTTGGTGGACAGACAAGGTGGCGTTGTAGGGTTCCACCACTGTGTCCGACACCTTGGGCGAGGGCATGACGCTGAAGGTGTTCATGATGCGGTCGGGATATTCCTCCCGGATCTTGCTAATCAGCAGGGTTCCCATCCCCGAGCCCGTGCCCCCGCCCAGGGAGTGTGTCAGCTGGAAGCCCTGCAAACAGTCACAGCTCTCAGACTCCTTCCTCACCACATCTAGTACAGCGTCCACCAGCTCTGCACCCTCTGTGTAATGGCCTTTAGCCCAGTTGTTTCCAGCGCCACTTTGACCTGAGAGAGAAGGAAAAATTTTAAAAGGAGGATGCAGGAAACTCCACTCCACGATTCATCTCACAAAATACAAAATTTCGCCCACAAAATATACGGTCAATTCATTTTACAGTAAATTCTGTGAAGCGATTTGAGACGCCTCGTAGACATGATCAGGTGCTATTAAATGCAAGCGTTTTATTATTATTATTATTATTATCTTACAAGGCATACGCCAGCACCAGTTACCTTCCTGAATTGGGCTTATAGCTGCAAGGCGAACTAGATGGACCTTGGTCTTTTTTCATCTACCAATTCCTATGCTCCTATGTTCCACGGCAATGCATCACTAATGCGAATGGTCTTAGCCTTAAGACATTCATCTTAAAACATTAAGCAATTGCCCAGAACTTTGGAATTTTTTTAAAATTCAGTTGCAATTTGGGACAGTCAGTTTTTCAGGGATTATTATGGACAGTCTTGCAAATTAAGACTGTTTTTTTTTAAAAAAATCCCAAATCTGATCTGATTTTAAGGCAATTATTTTTACGACTGACACATGTTGTGCTTTCTGGGAGAGAGAGAATGGATGGATTTTTTTTTAAAAAAGGAGAAAATAAACCTTTGTGGATTTACCCTTTCTCCCCCCTTCCCCAATTGAGTTTCTATAGAATAATCAGAGGTTTGTGCTGTAGGGCTTTATTCAGAGGAAGAATTGAAGGTTCCCACACATGTGGAATGAATGCAGAGCAAGTTACAGTCAGCCTAACAGACAAGAAGTGTGTGCGATGGCTGTTGATTATTTATCGAGCTTTTGTTCTGCAGTAGGTGACAAACTATCTGGTGATTCAGTGAGGACTTGTTTCAAGTGCAATTTCAATGGCCCCAAATGCTAATGTGCAGTGGCTGAATTATGCCCCAGTTAAAACCACGACCATTTTAACTCATAATAAACAGCAGTCTATGAATCTGATACAGCTCCCTTATTCAAACTGTCCCTAAGTGCTTCACACAATGAGTTACTTTGAGGTGCATTTCTGACCATTAGATGTCTTCAAACTGAGGATGAACTGTGCATTTTATGCCACCTGCTCATCATAATTGCAGCTCAGATAGTTGGTGATAAAACCAGTGTTTTATAAAATGTTGGTGCTGTCTGGAGAACCAGTGCATTGGTTGTACTTTGAGAAAATAAAATCTAATAAATACTAAGGAATATTAGCAAATGAGATTAGAACACCTGCTCATAATGGGTAAATTCAACCTCCACCTAAACTCCCCTTGCACCACCTACTCAGATTTCACTGCCATCCTCTCCTCCCCAAACCTCATCCTCCATCACAACTTGCTAACCCCACAACTGTGTTGCAAGTTGTCATCATCATACATGGCATTGACATTTCCGACCTGCCTAACATGGACAAGGCCATCTCGGACCACTTCCTCATCTCTCTCTCCCCCCGTATCCCCCTCCCCGCTTCCAAGCCCTCCACCATTTTTTTCCGCCCCTGAAAAAGCTTTCCATTGAGTCCCTCACAAATGCCCTCTCTTCCTCGGACTTCCTTTCCCTCTGGCCCTCCACCTGCAGCGATCCTGATGCAGCCATCAAGCTGCTGAATGACCGTCTCTCCACAACTTTTAATTCCCTGGCTCCCCTGAAATCCAGGGCTGTTTCCAAATCCACCTGCTCCCCCTGGTATAACAGTCACCTCCGCTCACTCAAAACCCAAACCCGGACGCTTGAGCACAGATGGCAGAAATCTGGCCTCATGATTCATCTATAATAATAATAATAATAATCCTTGCATTTGATATAGCGCTTTTCACGTCGGGAGGACGTCCCAAAGCGCTTCACAGAACACACTGTAAAGTGAATTGACTGTATATTTGTGGGCGAACGCGGCAGCCAATTGCGCACAGCAATGTCCCACAAACAGTCGTAGATTGAAAATGACCAATTTATTATTGTTTTGGGTTTTGGAGGGATTATTATTAGGCGTGTGGAGTAAGGAAACTTGCCCAAGGTTTCGCCCTCTGCCTGGAATTGAACTCAGGTCTCTCGCTTGCAAAGCGAGTGCTCTAACCACTGAGCTACAGGACTCCATCTGTGGCTTGAGCACCTACCGCCTCCTACCGCCTCTCCCTTTCACACGCCAAGACTGACGAAGTCATCCTGGAGGCCAAAAACAATCCAAAGATGCTATTTTCCACCGTATCTCACCTTCTCCTTGCACCTTCTCTGGCCCCCTCTAATCTCACATCAAACACCAAGTGCGAAGAGGTCCTAGGCTTCTTCGCCTCAAAGATTGAAAACACCCGCTTGACTGTATCATCCTCCCACCACCCCACCCATGGCCCCTTCCACCCTACACAGACCATCCACACCGCCTTCTCCCTTCACCACAGCTCCTGCCACTCCCCACTCCTTTGCCCCTATTTTTTNCTCCTCCCTCTTAACCACTTCGATGAAGTTCACCACCTGCTGCCTCGATCCCCTCCCCACCCAGCTGCTGGTCACTCAACTCGCCCTTCTCTCTCTCATTCTGGCCAACAGGTCAACCAGTCTCTCTCCTCAGGCTTTGTTTCACTCCCCCTTAAAACCGCTGTCATCACACCCCTTCTCAAAAAACCCATCCTCGATCCCTCTAATCTCTCACAGTACCATCCCATCCTACCCGTCTTTGCCAAAGTCCTGTAACGCATTGTTGCAGGTCAACTTTGGTCACACTTCTCCCTCCACTCTCTCCTTGAGCCCCTGCAGTCTGGTTTTTGCTCTGCCCACAGCACAGAGACAGCGCTTTTCAAAGTCAAAAGCAACATCCTCTCTATCTGTGACCAGGGCTCCCTCTGCCTTCTTGTCCTCCTGGATCTCTCTCTCGAGTTCAACACAGTCAACTGCTGATCTAAACTCCTCAACCTCCCTGGGCTTTCGCTCAGACTCACTGAACCAGTACACAACCTGGGAGTCCGGTTCAACCCCAAGCTGTCCTTCCTCCCCACATCCAGGCCCTGACCAGGACCGCCTTCAATTCCTTGCACCCTCTGCCCCACGATCGGAGGTCGCGCTTTCAGCCACTACACCCTGAAACGCTCAAACACTCTCGCTCAATCCCTCCGCCTTGCCCCTTCTCTCCCATTTTTCAAGTCCCACCTGAAAACCTTCCTCTTCGACTGCGTTTACGGCTACCTCCCCCTCGTCTCAGAATCAGGCTCCGCCATTGGTAAGCGCTCTGAGTCGCTACCCTGCGTGGAGTCCACTGTGTAAGTGCAAGTTGTTGTTGTTAAAGGATAATATGGCTGTTGCTCTCTCCCCCTTCCCCATTAAGAGAGAAGCTAAAGGACAAGTCTTCCTTCACCAGCCATTCATTGATAGGTAGGCTTATTCTTTGTTCTGAGATCGGATGCTTCATTCTGTTTATTCCCACGAGATTCTCCTACAATCCCCTACCTCTGTGACACTGGAACTGTACCACAGCAATACTCACCATGTGTAGTAGGAAGAGGGAGGAAAAAAAAGTAAGAAGCAAAATTAATATTGTCATTAAATCTAATGGTTTAAGCCTAGTTTTCTGTTTTCTCCCCAATGACAGCTATGTGTCGTTTGGTTTGTTTGACTGTAATAGAATCTCTCAGAAACTAATCAAGTCCCATTGACAATCTTGGATTCATTGGTACAGATCTATGTCATCTCTTGGACCACACAATCAATTTGCTTTACCAAAGCTTCACAGTTGAACCATACCAAAGACAAAGTTATCTGGTCTAAATATCTGTCCGAATGGCCCAGATCTGACGGAGTCCATGGTACCAGGTTCCAGATCCACGAGAATGGCACGGGGAACGTACTTGTCACCTGAAAAGAGAGAAAACATCAGGGATACTCGAGATACTCAGAGGTGAAGCTTAACACAGTGCTCTAATTTTTGTTTGATTGTAGGTTTCTCAAGAAACCATTTTTTTTATATACAAAAAATATGAAATAAAAGACTCTTGCCGTGTGCAAGGATTATTACTACTATGATTATAGTTCCTTCCCCTCAAACCTTGGTTAGGAGAGGTCCTACGCTCACATTCCGCTCCTTACCAGCCGCCTCATTATAGTAGACGTTGATCCTTTCCAGCTGAACGCTGCTGTCCCCGCAGGCACTTCCCGTAGGATCAATCCCATGCTCATCACTGATCACTTCCCAAAACTAC